GCAACAATAAAATTAAAAAAAAAGAAAGTAATGTGTTGGGTGCCCAGGACCACAGCGTCCCAAATCTATATCACCTTTTACCTGCCTCTCCAGATAGTTGTGGGACACCTTACTGACCAACTTCAGGAGATAAGGTTTTCTTACTCACCTCTCCCAATGGTAGGACTTTTTCTTCTTTTTTCACTTTTCTTTTGAGTCCCACAGCTGTCTGCAGGCAATGAAGGGTGATATATATGTGGGACGTTGAAGGCTTGAGAACCCACATCTTACTCTCTTATCTTGTTTTATTTTAGTTTTTCTTATTTTTTTATATGTGACGTTTTGCGAACGGAGGTTAAGTCTTGATAAACGGTGTATCTCCACCCCTATGTGGGTCATATTCCGCAGTCACCTCCAAAAACTAAAACACATCTTATACTCCGTAATATATGGCCTGTGCCCTGGGGACTTTGTTTTGTTGTGCGGCGTTTTGTAATGGCCTTTAATTGTTTATGTTTGCAATATATATTGTTACGTCTCCGTTTGTTAATTGATTTTTCCGTAACTTCGTTCCGACGAAACTTTAACGACACAAGTCTTTACTTAATAAAACTGGTTTATTCTTTCCGAATATAACTTTACGATACACTTAATTTCAATATTCGCGCTAAAACAAACACTATAACGAACGAACGTTAAGTTCAACAATACCCTGTGACTGCAGTTCAATTACTCACTATCTACACACACATTATTATTCCGTCACGTTGTCACCCTCTTTTATATACCAGACTACCCTATATCTAGTAAATACTAGAGCATTCGCCAAGGTACAGGATAGTTCTAGAAACGTGGCGTCACACTAGTCATGTGACTCGCTGACGCAACAATATATATATGTGTGTGTGCGTATAGATAGAGCTCACTGGATTAGTGTTACAAGGATATGTTAAAACCCGGAATGAGAACGGAACGATATAAAACAATGGGAAAAGGCCTGGAACGCTGTTTTATCACACAATAAAAGCATTTTTCATTTCTAAATATTATAAAACCCACTAAATAAGGAACAACATTATTTGTTTCCCCAATTCCAGAATAGACATGGTTGCTTGGAATAGTGTATTAAAAACGTTACACTTTTTTTTCTGAGCAATTCGTTTCAATTATTTATATATTTACTATTAGAATATTTTATATAAATAGTTTTGGATTGAAATACCATATTATTTCAGTGAAATATTTTAGCACGTAACAGTGTACAAAACATGAAAATTATCATTAATTGTTACAATTTATAACCGCCTCTTTGGAATAAAATAATCTTTTATAAATAAAATAAATTCTAAAACTATCCAAAATTTCATATGGCTTGCTTGTTTGTTTGTTTTTGAATTTAGCGCAAAGCTACATGAGGGCTATCTGCGCTAGCCGTCCCTAATTTAGCAGTGTAAGACTAGAGGGCAGGCAGCTAGTCATCATCACCCACCTCCAACTCTTGGGCTACTCTTTTACCAACGAATAGTGGGATTGACCGTCACATTATAACGCCCCTCAGATTGCGAGTCGAGTGCCTTAACCACCTGGCCATTAATATGGCTTGCAATCATCACGAACACTCTGAGGCCTATAAATCTCTCTCATTCCGTCTTGCTGACCTGATGGTTTGGGCACTAAACCCACTATTTGCGGGTCACGAGATCCAATCCCTTCACTGAAAATGCTCGCCTTTTTAGCCGTGAGAACGTTATAAAGTGACGACGGTCAATACCATTTTTCTTTGGTAAAATGTAGCTCAAGAGTTGGCAGAAGGTGATGTTGACTAGCTTCTAAATTAGAGACGCCTGGTGCAGGTAGTCCTCGAGCAACTTTGCACTAAATTTAACAAACAAACAAAGTGTTAATTATAAGGACTGACCTCGCACAGTAACTGCAACAGAAGATATCTCAAATGTTTCAGATTCAGAAATATGTTATATCAAAACTCTTAGTGAATCGTGTTTTAGGAAAACAAAATGACCGCCATCTATAATACAGATAATTATAGCTTTTCACCTAATACAGGAAGAATGATGATCTAGAAATTTGTTGTGACATTTTGGTATGTTGAAATGAAATGGGAGCAAAATGAAATACATGTGAATAGCCCTTAATAGTCATTAGTTTGACGATTTAAGTTATTTCCCAGCTTTCAAGGTTGCCCAAACTGGTAATAATGGCAATGACGGGTGTTGATGTAATGAAAATAAAACTATGATTTAAGACAAATTGACCGTAGTTTTTGAACACAGACACGTGAATTAACTCGTCAACAGTCACTAACAGTTTAGGAAGTGTGATAAATTACATAAAATAGTTATAACTGTATGGCTTAGGCATAGGCGTACGGGGGATTTTTCATGGGAAGCTGTACAATTTTTGCCGCAATGGCCGTATGTATGACAAACTAAGGGGCTGCCCCCCGCATCGTATGCCTATGAATACACGTATCGTGGTGTAGTAAAACTGACCTTAACGCCAGTACCCGTGTATTAGACTACAGCTCGTCATCTGTACATTGCTGCTCATTGTTGTGCCTTCTATAGACAGAATTCGAATATTGTCGTCATAGTTAGCGCCATCTATGTTTGTATATATACGAACACGAAAGAAACACATGGATCAGTAATTTTCATTTGGACTCTGCTTTAACTAAACGTACGAATTAAAGTAGGCATTGTTAAATGGTGTAAAAGTGTTGATCCATATTTCAAGGAGGATATCATGACAGCTGGAAAGAAACCCTGGTCTGCCTGCACAATGACAAGCTCAACGAAAGGTTTGATCTTCTGCGACACAAGGTACTTCAGGAAAAGGTTACCATTATTAGAACATATTTTCGATCACGGTGCCTTCTTCCTACATCTGCTGTAGCAAAGTGCCAATATACGTGGATACTACCAGATTCAACACGGTGGACACAGCAGCTAGCTCAATGTGGTTTTATTCTTAAGAAAACAACCAATAGGCTTAACAGATGATATAATTTCAGTTATGAACTGCTATTTTGTGGTAATTACGTTTAAAAAGCGTTTAGAGCTTGTATTTTACTTTTCGGTATTAAAGCGTCTGTTCTATTCTTTTAGATAATTACTGTTGTTTAACTCAAAACTATTTTTACATGAAAATAAAATAATGAGTTACAATTTTTACACACTCTTCCAAGCAACGGTGTCTGTTCCGGAATTAGTACAACAAATAATTACAAACATATTGTTACGACAGCGGAAGTCACGTGACCCTATTAACACGTCATGATATTCTAGAAGGATCATGTCTGTTCGTGGCAACTCTGGTCTTTTCTACGCGCTCTCTATTCTTGTATATAAGTGCGCCAGATAAAGCGAAATTAATT